GGGACGCATCGTCCCCAGAAATCCCCAGGTCCACCAGACATGGACCGTGGGTGGTTTCTCCTTTATACCCATGACGCTTTGATGACTGACCACAATGATAATTACACTTTCCCCTTTTTGCACAAAAAGAAAACTGCTCCACGCCATCTGTCAAAGCAGAAGCTAAGACCCCCGTGATACTCATTAATAACGGCTTTTCCTTTAGATCTTACTGTAACTAGATTTGTTTTTTTTTTTAAACCTTCTCCCTGCTGCTTTTTTTTTTCTTCAAACGTGCTTTTAAAGAGTGTGATCAGTTTAGTCAAGAGGAAGTTACTGATGGATATTTGGGGTGAAAAAGCTGAAGCCTGGACGTCTTACCTGTGACCTCTCCTCCCCCTCCCCCCGCAGGGACTGCTGGAGTCCCCGATGGAGAAGGTCCCAGTGTCAGTGGCCTGCGGTGGGGAGAGCCCCCTCGATGGCATCTGCCTCAGCGAATCGGACAAGACCGCCGTGCTCACCCTGATCAGAGAAGAGGTAAAGGCTTCCTTGTTCTGTCCACTTATCGCTCTGTTAACTTTGTGAAGCCAGTGTGCCGACAGAGAGATTCCATCTCTGCTGGCTTGAGTTCTTTCTCCCTGGGCGGAAGGTCATATTTCCTGCAGCTTGTAGCTCATACAAAGCGCTCCCTGTGAAAACTCCATGGTGATGCTGGAGTCCTGGCCTTCTGGTGTCCAGGGGGCAAAGCTTGGAAATGCCCTAAAGAATTTTTGTACACTTCTTTATCTTTTAGCCTTGAAGTTTTCTCGTTTGTTTGGGGGTGTTATTAAGTTTATTAGTTTTTTGATGGAGGTAGTGGGGATTGAACCCAGGACCTCATGCATGCTAAGTATGCGCTCTACCACTGAGCTATACCCTCCCCACCAGCCTTGAAGTCTTAAATATCAAACTTTGCCAACTTCACCCACATGTGTAACTAAGCCAGCGACTTCATTCACAGAGGATATATGCTCATGCCTTAAAGTTCCTTAAGTTCTGGCATTACAAGAATATAAAATTGTCTCCTGCCTTCATCCATCCTTTAATCAAACAGTTCAACTCTTGAATTCCTGTTTCGTGTCCATTGAGCATCCTCTGTTCAAACAGATCATAGCTAGGCCTTTCCTGGATGATGTAAAAGGCAGGAAAGCAGTTGTTAGGTGCTGCTAATCAGTTACCACCCTCCGTGTTACCTTTCTGCGCTGTCTTTTATGTGCTTGGTTTGTGTGTGTCTTGATGACACCACCTTTTTTTTTAAAGGAGGTAATCCCCTTGGTGTAGCAATTTTATTTTTATATAAGAGGATGAGAGTAGTTAAGTACCTCTGACCTAGGTCTTTCAAACCTGTAAATAGGTTGGTAGTTAGGGGTGTCTGCTAGTCCTGTGTCAAAACGTGGGAGCTGTGGCAACGAGGCCCCCGCAAAACCTCGTAAATGAGAAAAGCGACTTCATCTTTCTCCTGAGAGTTTAAACTATGAGATGATCACCGGATTCATCAAAGCAAAGATGTACCTGGTCCCCCTGAAGCAAACACGCTGGCTTCTAGTTCTTGAGATCCTGATTAACGGCACCAGAATAAAGGTTGTACCAATTAGGAGGAAGCACAGAAAAGTATAATGCTTATCTAAGCTCTGTGCAGGGCAAACGGGGTTTGAGGCCATGAATTTAGAGTATTTCTTTCCGGTTAGCACAGGCGTCCCAGATGCAGGGACTGGGGTTCTGGTCTGAGGAGCAAAGATCTCGCTAGCAGTGAGATGGATGCTCCTGCCTGGAGGCACTGAACACCTGAGCCCCATTCTGACTCAGTCCAAAATCTCTGCAAAAAAACAATACCTGGACACGCCGACGTCCACGGCTTGGATTTTCCGGCAGTTTCGTTTCTCATCCTAATTAAACTGGCTCTTTGGTGTCTAAATGGCTCTTGTTGGCGTCCTGCCTCATCAGGGTTCTGGGCTGTCAGAGCTGAGAGCCAGACTCTGGACCCAGGTGACATTTACAGAGATTGTCATTATCACTTGGAGCTTTCCAGGGAGGTGTTCCGCTCCCCCTCGCTCCGGCGACCACATTCCAGCATCCTGTGCGGCCGAGAGCATTTCCCCCAGTGTTTGTGAGCCTTGTATACAGATGTGAGGTTTTATGTTCCTAATGTAGATTGAATGACTTGGGATGGACCTGGCGGTGTGTTGTCTTCCATCTCTAATCTCAACTTCAAACTGTAAGAGATTGGTTGGGTAAAACCGAGCTGTGTCCCCATTGTAACCTAGATCATCACTAAAGAGATTGAAGCAAATGAATGGAAGAAAAAATACGAAGAAACCCGACAGGAAGTCTTGGAGATGAGGTGAGACGGGAGGTCTGGGGGAGGACTGGGTACCTTTGTGTATTGTTAGATTTGAGACGAAGTGACGACAGTGTTCGCTTACCGCAGAACCAGCTGTTGAGAACTTGAGGGCTTTGCTGCTTGCACCTTGCTTTGTGATTGATAATGTCATTTCCTGAGTGTTGCTGACCAGCTATTGTGTTCAAATGCTGTAGTGTATTTTGGGTTGTTCAGAACATTACAGGTAAGTGGAACCCACATAATCCTTGTCTTTTGAAAAGACAAATTCATGTAAAAAATAATCCACTTGAAGTACAGAGTAATAAGATTTATTGACATATTCAATTATGGAGACGTTGTAACTCATAATCCTTTTCTAAAACGAATTATACGTGGCAGCTTCAAGTTTCATAACCACAAAGTAGATTATGAAAGCAGAACTGATGGACTTTAAGTTGAAATCTTTCTATTGTTGCTGCTCACTCCCTAGAGAATTAGGAGCTGTGAAATAACTGAAGATGGCAGCAAAGGCAGGGAGCGGGGGCATAAATAACTTATAAACTATGCAGTTGGCACTTGGATGATTAAGAAACATTTTAAATATGTCCACTCTAATTGGTGGCTCTTGTAGTGTTTGGTTTTCTGTGCATTTACTGGGTGTAAGTCCCTGTGCTGGCATGGAGGAGGGAAAAGCCCAGCCCTGACCTTGGGGACCTTACAGCAGCCATTGTCAGAACCTTGGTTGCAGGGCCAGTGTGATGGGAGCTGCGGTGAAGGGCAGGGGGCGTGGTCACGTCTTACTGGGGAGAGGGTGTCATCCAGAGGCACAGCCATCACTGGGCGGGATCAAGAAAAGATTTCACTTCGCTAAAAAAAAAACAACTAAACATTAACACGACGGGGTGATCTTTAAAGATCTTTGAATAGTGGAAGTACTTTCGGAATTAAGACAATAAAATGAAACCTGGAACTGAATCAGAGGGACAGACTGCCTGTAAGAGTGGACTGGGGCCAGGAAAACCTGAGCTCAGATCAGATCTCTTAGGAAGAGCCCCACGAACGTCATGAACTTATTTTGTAGAAGATTGACTGGTCTTAAGCAGATTCATGTACTGCCTTGAGGTCATTCGCGTAGGTGCAAAGAAAGGGCCAAGGCAGGTGCTGCTAGAAATAGAACGAAAGCTGTGTTAAACATAAAATCTTAAGAAAAACCTTTTTGAACGTTAACAAATCTTTCCTTAAATGAAAAAATAGGGGAGCCCCAAAGCAAGTAACTAGCTTATGTAAATTTGTCTGTAGATGTTAACGTGTTTACCTGTTGGGGTAGCGTTTCTCCACCTTGCCTTGTCTGAGAATTCTCTCCTGATAAGATTTTGTGTTTGCTCCTTTAAGGAAAATCGTGGCCGAGTATGAGAAGACCATTGCCCAAATGATCGGTAAGGAGATTTTCGTCTAGAGCGTGAGTCATAGGATCCAGAGGTGATCTTCAAGGCAGAATGCAGACTCAGTTGTCCATCACCGAGACACAGCGGCTTCTCGTTATTTGCAGCAGTTGTGTTTTATGAAGTTGCCACAGACACTGAATTAGCCAAGTTGCTCCTCTGGGAAGCACAGGGTTCGATCCCCGTGAGCCTGTGGCCGCAGCATTTTTGTCCGCACATAACCTTGCCTTGTGTGTGTTTCTGTCTAAAAACCTCTTCTTTAATACATGTTGATTCATTAACATTGAGCTCCCGGCCCACAGTGCTTCAGCTCCCGCCCGAACGAGGCTCCTATAACACACGTGTCCTCCCCGTGACACACCTCACAGCCTTGTTGCTCTTGGACGTGGGACAGCACCTCAGCCCTAGGTTTGGGGGCCACTTCAGAGTCACCAGCATAGCAGGGAGAGGGTAGCTCAGCGGTAGAGCGTGTGCTTAGCATGCACGAGGTCCTGGGTTCAATCCCCAGTCCCTCCATTAAATTAAGTGCTTAGCAACAACAACAACAACAACAAATCTGTCGATCAGATCTACAGACACATTGAAAATATCCTAAAAAATAAAAGTGAAATAGAGATTTTTTTTTAAGAACACTTTTTTGAATCAATTCTTATTTTGTGGTTGGCTTTATTCCTTTGATAACTCTAAGTTTAAAAAGCTAAAACTTTAAACATTCTTAGAAACAATGAACAGTACATAATATAAATTTTAAAAATATGCAGTATAGTGTGTGTATGTATTTACATACAATATATTGTATATGTGCACATTGTAAGAATTCTACCTAATAAAACTAAAAAGTGGAAAAACATTAGGGAGTATGACAGAGCAAAAACAAATACCATATGATATCACTTACATGTGGAATCTAAAAAAATGACACAAATGAACTTATTTTACAAAACAGAAAGACTGAAAACAAACTTATGCTTACCCAAGGGAAAAGGCGGGGAGGGTTAAATCAGGAGTTTGGGACCAGCAGGTCGAAACTACTCTGTATGAATTAGACGAACAACAGGATCCTACTGTGTAGCCCAGGGAACTAGATTCAATAGCTTGTAATAACCTATAATGAAAAAGAATGCATATATGTGTGTATAACTGAATCACTATGCTGTACACCAGAAATTAACACAACATTGTAAATCAATTACACTTCAATTAAAAAAAAATAGGAAAAAAAAATCTCTTGTAGCTACTCCTGTAAGGACTGAGTCCCTAAACAAAATCAGGTCTTTCTGCATCAGCTCAAGCACAGAGATGATGTCTTCTGCCGTCTGAGTCACCCAGCACCAGGGTAGCTGGGTGGCTTCTGCCCTCGGTTCCTCTGGGTCTCTGCTCAAGTCGCTCCTCCAAGAGAGGCCACTCGGGATAAAAAAGGCACCCCCACCCCTCTTGCCCTGCCGTGTTCTTCCCCCACTGCCTGCCACCATGTCCCCCAGCAGCATGGCCATCCTCATGCAGGGTCACCTTTCTCACTGGGCCCCCCACCCAGGGTGCCATCCAGCGGCTCAGGAGGGCGGCTATGAACTGTCTGTTGAGTGAACATGTCGTTGCTTCTGATTGTGATTCACAGAAGACGAGCAGAGGACAAGCATGTCATCTCAGAAGAGCTTCCAGCAGCTGACCATGGAGAAGGAGCAGGCCCTGGCCGACCTGAACTCTGTGGAAAGGTCGCTGTCCGACCTCTTCAGGAGATACGAGAACCTGAAAGGCGTCCTGGAAGGGTTCAAGAAGGTAGTGTCCTTGTCCTCCCGTCTCCTGGGCTGCGTGCCGTCTTGGTAATGGGTCTCCAAACCTAGGGGGGCCCCTGCTGGCCTTGTGTCCTCTGTTCCTGTGAAGCCGGGGCTTTCCCCCCCTTTCTCCCTTCTGTGGTTTGCTAAGGCATCTGGACCACCCACCCCCCCGGGTGGCGTGTTGGAGAATTTCAGAAATGTTCTTCTTGATTATTCATCACGTTAACATTACTAAAAGTAAAAAGGAGTCTACCATAGCACTGAGAAGCCCAGGCTGCATGTTCTAGAAGAAAGCAAGTATAACATTTCAAACCTAGGTGTAAGTGGGCATGTCCATTTAATGCAGTTGCATCATCAGTAAGACATGTTGGTAGCCGTGAACATTCTTTTTTTTTTTCCATATTAAAGTAAAAATGAGACTGGCCAATTTCTCTAAAACGGGAATCAGATTGCCCTTCACTTTTGAATAACTGCCCTCCTGGAAGCAGGTGTATCAGTGTGATTTGGAAATTGATGCATGATGTTATCTGCAGTTTCTTCAGCAAGAATAATCTGTGTCTGTTTCAGATGAGTACAGAGTGTTATTTGAAGGCGTCCGCATTTGTTAGGTTTTCTCATTTTTTGAAAAATGAGAACTCTGATGCTCGGTATGTTACTGGTAGAAGAAAAACGAAATGACCTGTGTCTTTCATCTTAAATTGTCCCCTGGGACCAGAACGAAGAAGCCTTGAAAAAGTGCGCTCAGGATTACTTAGCCAGAGTCAGACAAGAGGAGCAGCGGTACCAGGCCCTGAAAATCCATGCGGAAGAGAAACTAGACAAGTAAGAGCTTACGCACGAGAATTTCACTTTCCGTGTTGTCGTGGGGAGATGGGCCGAGGCAAGGGGGAAAAGATCACTGTTTCTGCAACTCCAGATTGCATCTGTGTGTATGTGTGTGCGTGCCTTATTTAATTTTTTGAAGAGGTAGGATCTTCACATGGTTCAAACGTTGAAAAAAAGGAAAAGATGCAGTCTTCCCCTCCCACCCCATTCCCTTCCACTGGGTCCCCTCCTCTTTCCTCACCCCAGGTCATCATCACTCTTTTATCCTTCCTGACGTACTTTTTCCCCTCCTCTCCCCCCACCCAGCTTTATTGAGCTGTAATTGATGTGTAAGTTTAAGGTTTACAATTTGATACGTTTATATATACGTTTATATATGCACCACCATCCAGTCAGCTAATGCCTCAGTCAAATCACAAAATTACCATTTTTTAAATGTGGTGAGAATCTCCTTTTTTATAGAGATGGCATACCTTGCTTTTTTCATTTAGCAGTATATTTTGGAAATCTTCCGACGTCAACCCATAGCTTCCTTTTTTTTTTAAGTCCTGTGGTGGTCCGTTTTTGGAATGTATCATTTATGTAACCAGTCCCCTCCTGCTGGACATTTAGGTTATTCAGAATCTTCTGCTACAAACAGTGCTAGAATAAGAGATCTTGTATGATTGTTATTTGGCAGGCATGTGACATCTCTGTATGATACAAAAGGAGCTGCTAAAGATATGAATGTGTAACTATGGTAATATTGTCAGGTTGCCCTCATTAGACTTGCATTATTTCACAGTCCTGCACAATGTCTCAGAGCGGCTTGTCTCCCTACAGCTTTGCCAACATAGCAAATTTTTGGTTTTCAGCAAATCTAACCAGTGAAAAGATGGTATTTCGATTTAGCTGGTGCTTTGGTTTGGATTTTTTTGTTGTTTGGGGGTTTTTTTGGCCAGCAAGAAGGCATTTATTTCATTCAATATGGTTTTGGCTTTTTTTCATTCAATGTAGTTTTGATTTGTGTTGATCTTATGAGTGAAATTGAATACATTTTAGTAGCCGTCTATACGTAATGCGTATTACTTTACGTGAACGATTCTGTTCTTTGCTTGGTTTTCTATTCTCAGCTTATGTTTTTAAAATACAAGTATGTTTAGGATGCCAGCCCTTTGTGATATGAATTATGAATAATTTTCCAGTTTGTCTTTTATCTTTTGGCTCTGCATGTGCTTCGATATGCAGAAATTTCCTTTGTAGTGAAATTTCTCAGTGATTTCTTTTATAGCTGTAGGATTTCCTGTCATAGTAACAAAGACCTTCTCCAGGCCGAATATAAAATATTCTCCTATGTTCTCCTTCATTTATAGGTTAATTTTTTTAATCCTTAAATCCAACACACTTGGAATTTATCCTGGGAAATAAAGGATGTATAAAAGATGCATCCAACTTTATTTTTTAACTACAAAAATATATACTTGTTTTTTTGTCATCTTCCTATTTATAAAGGCTTTTTTTTTTAATTTTCTTTTGTGGGAGTAATTAGGTTCATTTATTTACTTATGTTAATGAAGGTACTGGGGATTGAACTCAGGACCTTGTGCATGCTAGGCATGCACTCTACCACTGAGCTATACCCTGCCCCCTAGAAAGGCTTTTAGGTTCTCCCTTTCTCATTCCTGCTCCCAGAGGGACTTTTATTGAAGGTTTATTTTGTCTCCCTCCAGACTTCTCTGTGAACCTTTACAAACACCACCCAACATGGCTTTGGACTTTTTTTGTTTTTCTGTAATATTGGATCACATAATACAGGTTTCCATTTTCACGTAATTGTATGTCCTGGCCATTTTTTCCATCTCAGAGCACATCACCCCATCGAATTATTTTATTAGGTTGTAGACCATTCCATTCCTTTAGGGATGGGCATTAGACAGTTTCAGCTTTTCCACTGCGAACAGCGCTGCAGCGAACGTCTGTGCCCTCGCCGTGGTGCCACGTGACGTGCTGCTGAGGGTAGATCCCTGAGCCAGAGCTGCTGGGTCAGCAGTGTCTGAAGTTGAAGTTGTGACAGTCCCCACCACGTGGCCCTCCGCAAAGTCAGCACCGCGTTCGTTCCCCCATCAGCACGTGAGCTTGTTTCCTCCCTTCTCGGCCAGCACGGGACAAGGTCATCCTTGCTGATTTTTGCCAGTCTGCTAAATGTTTGAAGTTTATCACTTTAATTTTCCTGCCTCGAATTACTAAGTGAGTTTTTAGCAACCTTTCATCACTTAATTGGCTATTTATCAACTGACATCTATGGTTTTAAAATTTCCCTTTTGTATCTCATTAGTAACGGCTCTCTGAGGTCTTTGTCTCATGGATGCCAGTGGTTAGTCTCCGGACTCATTAGCTGTGTTAATCCCACAGACGTTCCCACCTGCTGTTGTACTGGGTCAAAAGAAAATCGAAGATTGTTGTAGAAACGGTCATGTGAGCCCATTCTCTAGTGGCATGTGAATCTGGAAGGACACGAGGACACTGTGGCCTTTGAGATGAATTCTGCCATTGGTTTGCACCATGGAAATCTCCCTAGCAGTTGTGTGTCAATTGAATTTTTATAAATTAAAATGGAATTACCTAGGTCGCCGATCCCTGTTCTACCTCTTAATCACGAAGTCAGTTCTCATAGGTCCGGACCTCGCAGATGTCAGCAGTTAGCGCCGGACCCCTGGGCCGAGAATGATGACTAACCACGTGCTTTTTGCCCCTTCATCACACAAACCCATAAACAGAGCCAACGAGGAGATTGCTCAGGTCCGGACAAAAGCAAAGGCCGAGAGCGCCGCCCTCCACGCGGGGCTCCGGAAAGAGCAGATGAAGGTGGAGTCTCTGGAAAGGGCCCTTCAGCAGAAGGTAAGGGGGGCGAGGTGTGAGGACCACAGGCGCTCGTGGTTTTCCTCCCCTTGGTTAGTGTGGGTCTGGGTGAAGAGGCTGTCTCTTTGTTCAGACACTTGGGTCCAGCTCCCTTGGGAACTGACTCGGGTGGAGACAAGTGAGGCAAACCGTTGACCTCCCAGGTGCCCTGGTGGGACCCACCCACAGGCAGGGTGCACAGGGGAAGTGCATTAACTGATGTGCTGCTGGGGACCAAACGCTTAGGCTCTGAGGCTGCCTTTTTTTCTTTTGTTTTAATGTAATGCATGAAGCCATCTTTCCCCTTCATTACAGTTTTACCCTCCAGGGGACATACGGCAACGCCTGGAGGGAGTTGTGTTTGGGTGTCATGACGAGGAGATGCTGTGGGCGTCTAGTGGGTAGAGGCCAGAAATGCTGCTGAACGTCCTGCAGTGCACAGGACAGCCCCACAGTAAGGGCTGCCCTGCCCGAGTGGCAGTGGTGCCGTGGTCCAGAAACTGCTCGATAAGTAGGAGTCAGTGGTGATGACGGTCCCAATCTCTCACTACTTGGCGATTCCTAGGTTTCACTTTTGTATGCCTCTACTGTTCTTCTTACTGTGTCTACTTATGCACTCAGGCCCATGGCATCCATTCAGCTAGGGCAGGGATTTTCATCATGGCGGCCCTGGCGTGGTTCCCGGGATGCTCAGACTCCAAGAATCCCAGGTCCCTGGAGATGCTGATGGATTGAGTGATCCCCAGATACTTGTGTTTTTAACGAACACCCCCAAAATAATTCCTATGATAGCAAGAAAATTTGAGAACTAAGAGGTTCAAGAACAAACTTCAGAGGGCTGGTGATTACCCTCACCCCTCACTCAATTTAAGCATAACTTTGTGAACACATGACTACTTTCCAGGGAAAAGGTATACAGCCTTCCTTTCTTCAGAGGGTTTCTGAGGTAGGAAAGTTAAGAAGCACTGAGTCGGGATGCCCAGTGAGAGCACAGCCAATCTTGGGATGATTCCTCTGTCCTCCTTTGTCTCAGGGCACCAACTGCATCCTCTCATCATCTGTCTTTCAGAACCAAGAAATCGAAGAACTGACGAAAATCTGTGACGAGCTGATTGCAAAGCTGGGAAAGACAGACTGAGTTTCCCCGGTTAGCTCAGCAGATCTGCGTTTGGCTGCTTCTCTCTTGTGACCACGATTACCTTGCCTTATCCAGGAATAATTTCCCCCTTGCAGAGAAAAAAAAAAACACACATTACAAAAGCACACACCTACTGCTGCCTGTCCTGCTTTGCTGCCAATGCAACAGCCCGAGAGGAAACGCCGAGAAAGGAGTGGGACCAAACCCCGTCGAGAGGCTTGTCCAGACAGGCTGCGAAGCCCGGGCTACAATTTCTTCACCTTTAGTTCGTTTTAAAGTCATCTTTACTTTCCCCCAGTGTGTTCCGTTTATGATTTTGTAGCTACTCTTTGGGGTCATCTCCTGCCCACCCCTTGTCTGATTTTTTTAAAATTTTACTTATTTCATCTTTTAAATGTTAAGTTTCAATAGTAGTGGTTTTATTCGAGAAGATAGTTTGAGCAGGTGAGCACCAGTTGTGCGCATGCTCACACACACACACACACACACACACACACACACACACGTATTTATATGTGCTCCTGGTCTTTTTCTCCCTAAAGCATAGTCAGATAAGAACTTCTCTACAGAAGAGCATGTTTCCCTAAACGTAAAACGCTATTTTGAAACAGAAGCCTGGCTCAGAATGCCAACTTCAGAATTGGGGGGTTCGAGGTTGTTGAAGATGTGAAGCCTCCAGACCACGTCTGGCTTGACTCAGAACCTCGGACTCAGGTGTCATGTGGGGGAGGCTTGGCTGCAGTGTTCTTGCCCCGCGTCTGGACGCCCCTCAGCCTAGATGCTGGGGGACCCCTTGGGGTTAGTCCTCAGACTGAGAGTGTCTCCTTTCTGTGTGGCCCCTCACAGCTGGGGTGGCCTAGAGCCACCAGGCTCCTCTGCATCCTTCCTTGCTACAAAATCAGCATTTACCCTGTATTCTCTTTCTGTTGGAAGTATGCGAAGAAAACCTACTTGTGAAAGGTTTATTTAATGAACCCCATTTGCAATCGTAAGGTGAAGCCATGGTCGGGGTTTTTTTGCAAGTGTGATGCATTGTTCTTCAGATTTTTTTTCCTAAAGACAAAAAAAATTCCTCTCAAACTCAAAATAGCAGAATGTTTAACAAAATGGGTAGGAAAAATCATGTGAACCACTCCAAAAATCAGCACATTTTGAATATTTTTAAACCAAGGCCAATTGGATGCTGGAGAGGGGGGAGTGCAGGGAGCAGACCACCCCCCCCCCAAAAAAAACCAACAACAAATTTCTCAAGCTGTTCCTGGACTCCATTCAGCGTGGCGGGCTAGTCACCCCCAAGTAGAAGTTTCCCCTGTACCACCGTGAGTCCCCTCCCATCTGATAGGCAAAGCCAAGTCCCGGCCGGGGGTTTGAAGCACTCTTTTGTGTTAATCTGAACAGCCTGAGCATCTTCATGGTGACACGCACTCTCTTCAGTTCACGTAAGTTTTCGGACTTTTCTTGTCAACCTGTTGCATGATCCACCTTCAGCAGTGACTTGTGCCTCGTGGAGAATGTGTGTAGACCTTTAAAGGGTGACCCTTCCTTTAGCCGTGTACTCTTTACGTGGGTGCAGTCTTTAGCCCCAGGGAGGTCAGTGATGTCTTTTAAAGCCAGAAGTCACGTTTTACTGATACACATTTATCGTAATTGGTGCTTGGGCTGTATTTTAAAGCCTATCATCTTAACATTTTGTACAAAAAAAACCAACAGAAACGATCTTCTGTGTTTGGAGAAGTGACTTGACAATCACTGGGGCTCCGAAAGCCGTCGCTGTGCTGTTGTTAGGGTCCTCAGAGGAACAGGTGTCTCCAGTTGGGGTGACCCACGGCCCCTCCCACTCCTCCACGCCTCCAGAAACTAACCCTGCGTTTTGCAGAAAGAAACATCACTAACCCTTGTTGGCGGCTGTGTTGCGGTGACATGCCCATGTTTACTTGTTTCACGTTGATCTGTTTGACGCAGGAAAGGCTTTTAGTGGTCTCCGTTAGGAAGCCGCGGCCCTCTTTTCGGGCATCGCATGCCTAAAAAGAGAAGGCAGCTGTGTGTTAGGTAAGACAGAGGTGACGACAATCCTTCCCCAGCAGACCGGTGAGAAGAGACCCCTTAAAACCTAGACCTTCGTGAGTGAAGTTGCCACCCAAGGAAGACGCAAAGGCTCCTGTCAAGTAGTGCTTGCCGCTGGCCTCTCAGCCGTGACTACTGCAAGGAAGCGGTCTTCCTTCCAACTTAATAGATGCATGTCCTCCAACAGGAGGAACATGGTAGCTTGTACAGCTGGCAAATCAAGAGAATACACTGGGTAGATGAAGTATGTTTGTTTATTTTTATTATTTTTTTAATAAGGGGGGAAAAGAGCTTTTAGTATTCCGGAGAGTAAAAATACAGCCCAGGGTTTTGCTTCAAAATATGGGCGGGCCCGATTCCCTGTGGGTTAGGAGTGACACAGCCTGGGACAAGCGTGGGGAGGACGCGAGGGGGAGCCTGGCAGGGACGGGGCTCGGGAACCCAGGGGTCCTGCTGAGGCTCTGGATCCACAGCTGGTTCTTAGCTTGGTGGCTTTGCTGAAGTGGAGGTAGATAGTCTTTATCTAAAAGTGTTGTAAGTGGAGGATCTCGTGTAAGACAGACAGAACTGTTTGTCACTCGGGTGGCTGGTCAGTCACAGACATCCCGAACTGTGCTTTCCTTAGAGAAGCTCCTAGAAGCCAGAGACACGCCCAAACCCTTTGTCTGTAAAACCGGTCTGGAAACACTTGAGGAGTCTGTTTGCTCACGTGGCTGCTGGCATCTTCAGACCCATCCAAAGTAGGAAGTGCAGAAGGCACACGTTGCTGGAAATCTCCAACGGCCTGGCAGCCTTCCGGGACGATGCGGAGTCCGAGGGAAGACGTCTGGAGGCCAGCTCAAGCTGAACCCTCTTTCCAGCCAGTTACCCTTCCTAACGTCCCACACTTTCTGCAACCCTCACACAGACACTCAGCTGTCTTTCAGACAGCCCGAATTTGTGCGGACGAATTGCAGTCCGGGAGAGGAAACGGTCCCAAGTGTTCCTGGGCTGACTCAGGGCAGCCAGAGGGAAGCAGTCATCCTAACGGAAGGGAGCAGGGGACCCGAGGGCTGTAAAGCTCCAAGTGCAGTTGCCAGAGCTGGTGTGGTTTGTCTGTGTGCTCGAGCTGGGAACGGTTCGGCGCCTGCTGTTTCAGTAGACTAAAAGCTCCCAAGCTCCCTCTCCTCCTTTTGGTTTTTCGCTGCAGTTGGTAGGTGTGTCATGCACTGTCCACGACTTCTTTGTAGTTTGGTGACGACCAAGCAAGCTTGCTTTTGGCCTTGGGTGGTGTTTTACACGAATGATTTCTTTAAAGTAATTGAACCTCTTGTTGGGAAGAGAGAAAACTAGGTGTTGCAGGATGAAGTGAGTCCGGCAAAGCATTTTAAAAGTAAAGCTGTATATATCCTGAAGACTTTAAAAGATAGCAGATTATTATTCCTTGCTTATTAAAAGAATGAATATTGTCTGGGAATCCCAGAATTGTCAAGCCAAAGGTCTATAAAGTCACTTTCTTCAAAGATTTCAACAAGTATTTTAAGGAGACTTCTGTCCGAAAAAGGTTTGACTGGCCTCCAGATTCCAGTGATTTTAAGAAAGCAACTCATCACACAAACCTTGAGTCTCCCATGCAGTAAAGAGAGAGGAATGGATATAATAGACGCTTCTAAGGATCTCCTCTGGACGGCAGCGCTTCCAGTGGAGACTCCCTCCCCAGTGCTCAGAGCTAGCATTCTGGAGACTAAAGATTGCACTTTCTGTTGTTTTTCATCCAAATGCAATCCCATTTCTGTGCCTCTTAGCATGCAGTTAGATTTGGACAAATAAGATTCCTAAGGAATGACTTTATTAACTATAATATGGTTACAGCTATTACATATACACACACACACACTGGTTATAGTTTTACTCTGGAGATGGTGCTTGCGACGCTGGCCTGTGGCAGTCTGTCTGATGCTTTAACTCAGTTGGAGGAGGCCCGGCCTGGTGCTGAGGTGTGGCTTTGAACCTTCCCTGTAGTGATTCTTCACTTCCGAAGGTTAAAGACGCCACTTTCTCCCCCTTCTGCCTTTCAGTGGTATCTGAAAAATGCCCCCAAAGGCATTTCCCAGTCACATTGTTAACCAGTCAACTGTGTGAATAGTTTTCTAGTGGTCATATAAAATGTGAGCTCCGGAACCAGCCCGCCGTCCAGACACAGGGCCGTCTGCAGGTGAGACGGGCTGCCTCAGCCTGGGCCCTTCTCACCCAGTGGGACAAGACGCGGGCATTTCTTTTACATCTCAGAGGTCACAGCAGACTTCTCCGTGTCGCTCTCAGCAAGTGTGTGTTCGCCAGTAGATTCCCCACGTGTACTCATGTGCCAATGAGTAAATGTTAATTACTTGCACATCTGCTTCCCCTGTGTCCCCACGGGTGCCACGAAGTGTGTAAAGAGCCTCGTCCAGAGGAACGTAACGCTGCACTGACTACTGCTCCCGGGATTGTGTCGCGTGGAATGAGCCTCTACATAAGTTTTATATGCACAAGTAATTGCCCTTTTATATGTCAGGTAAATATTTGTAAAAGTTATACTCACACAAATGAAATTATTATAATGATTACTAATATATTTTTTCCATGTTTCATTGCCTGAATAAAGACTGTTTACCACTGTTACATGTGGCTGTGTGGATGATTCCCCTCCTCGCCCCCATTGCCCGCATTGTGTCATTTTATCCCTGAACGTGAAAATTTACGGCAGCCTCGCTTTTACAGGCTCCATGATTCAGTCTAAAAAAAGAAAAGATGACATTTTGGCTACACTCATTCTGTGGGATTTTATGCCTTTGGTTGAGTGTGTAATTAAAAAAACAAAACAAGCTTTGGAATTCGGACCTTACCATATAAATTTCCATGCCTTTGCATCTGTGCAAACAGAGTATTTAATTGGGTGCTTTTCGGTTTTGCTTAGACTGCTTGTCTGCTCTGGTGTATTTCAAGTCGTAAGAACCTAAGTCAGTCCACCACCCCCACCCCCAGCTTTCCGACTCTGAAGGACACAGGATCCGCCAGACTGTGTA